TGCGTATAGGGCCGACTTGTGCGTTTCGAATTGAAGACCAGCCACGGCAAGCTGATGCATTGTCCACTTGATGCCTTGTTCGTCGATGTACTTACAAACTGGGTATGAGTTTTGCGAGCTTGTAGTGTCTCGAAGTGCCTTAAACCAAGGGGAGACTGTGCCACATTTTAGTATGATTGGTAAATTGTCAGGAACACCGATGGAGAACTTGGTGCTGTATGACTGACTGTTTCTATTGGTCATAGAAATTGTGACAGTACATCAGTCAGAGATGCTGTCGTTGATCAGTACCTCGATCTGGTACCAAGTGATCAGTAGTATTGTAAGTACAAAGGGTTATTTCCAATATACTTGTGTTGCTGCTCATGTAGTTTTCTACAGCTCCCAAGCTCTATTGTACTCTGGAATGTTCGCCTGCAATATTTGGGGAACAGGTGACTGTTTCGAAATTGCAAGAAAACACGCCCCCGTAAAATTGGTGATTATACTACCGAATTTCGAAGTATGATTAGCCAATCATACACCCGTACAATGACAAATTCGAAGTAGTCAGTGTCTCTTAAAATCCAGACGTAGAAGGAACCACGCAATGAAGGCGGCTATCGCAGCAAGCAACTAGCCGAGGGAGCTCTGGGCTCTCGTAGCGAATCATCTACATCTCGTGGGAAGGAATGCGGTGCGGATGCTTTGTTCGAAGAACTCCTAGCAGCCGCCACTCCGTGACCTGCAACGCAATGAACAATCCACTGCAGGCAACTCGAACTCAGAGCAAACCTCGAAACCTATACTACATGAATCATTCCGTTGGGCTTAACAAATCTTTTACTGCTCCTTCATGTTGCCGTGGCAGCCATAGTATTTGAAGAGGAGCTCTGGCCACCCGTCGATTCGAATCGGGTCTTCCCCCGACTGAATCTTGGACAGAATCACAAACGACGGCGACACTTCGACGTGGAACATCTTCTTTTGCTCGTCCGTGAAATCGGTGACGTCGCCCGTGAGGCAGTTTTGCTGCAGCATGATTGTCATCTTGCGCAATTCCTTGAATCCTTGGTCGCGAGTGAGCCCTTGCTTGGCCGCCTGCGCCAGCACGGCGTCCTCGAACGACAGCACGTTCAAGTTCTCCTGGAGCGTGACGGGCTGAACGACGTGGTCGATGGCGAGCGCCGTCGCGTTGGAGGCGGATTCTGTGCGGGGCATGGCCATTGGCCCCGCGCCGTCGCATTTCGTGTACAGGTCCCCGAGGAGCCCCTTGACCTCGTACGAGTAGCCCAAGGTTCGGGCGTCCGTGAACTGGTAGTACTTGTTGGGCAAAGACCGGAAGAATTCGCCGACCAAAGGGTCGTTTTGAATGTCGATCGCGCCCGCGTTCGACTCCACGCGCATCATGACGGGTGACGTCGGGCCGATCGGGTCACCGTTCTTGGTGCGACAGCCTTGGAACGACCTGGCATCCGTTTTCTTTTGCTCGTCGGTTAACCCAAGCGGTTCGACGTTACAGTGGTAGAAGATCGTGTGGAGCAAGTCGAGAGTGTTGTGATGGATGAAGAAGATTGGATCCATTGGGGACACAGCCACGACGTTCTGGGGCCCGGACAACCGAATATGGATGCTCGCGTGGGGTGACGATTCCATTGCTCTCGACACAGACGCGATGCTGGTGCCAGAGTAGAGCACTTGGCCACGTACAGAGTCGATGGACATGTCGGCAGTCATCGGAGTCGATGACCACATGCCACGTGGGATGCAGTGGTCGCACTGAGAGTTGCCAGCACCCGCTGCCGTGCACATGTGGTTGGCAGGACGGGCGGTCACACATCGTTGATCCGAAAACGTGTAGCCAAACAAGGGCTTGGACGACATCTTGTACTGTGCCGTGCCTCCCATTTCGCGAAGGACGGCCGAGCACGATTCCAGGCTCTTGCACCGCGTCGCCACCGGCGTGTTTTGCATCGTCGCGTAGTTCTGGACGTAGTCCCAGTACGGCAGCGTCAAGCACTTGAACCGGTCGCCCAAGCTGCGCAGCATGTTCTCGTACGCGAGGAGAAGCTTGCGATGCCAAAACAGAAACACACACGTCCCGTGGCCTTCCGCTGTGCTCATGGTTTCTTTGTGAATCTGGACAAACTTTTGGTACATGCCCTTGTCCATGGCGAGCTCGATCGCGGAAATGTACGTGTCCTTCTCGGCGGCGGTGAGCGCTTCCCATGACTTGCGGATGCGCTTGCACGACGGGGCGACCGTGGGCGCCGGGGTAGGTGCTGCTGTTGGGGCCATGGTCGGTGCAGAAGTTGGGGCTTTGGTCGGTGCAGAAGTCGGGGCCTTGGTCGGTGCAGAAGTCGGGGCCATCGTCGTCGGCGCTACGGTTGTGGGGGCAGGGGTCGTCTTGACGACGACACCAGACACTCCACCCGGAAGCGGTGACATGGTGCCTTGCGAAGACTTCAAGTAGCAAACGCCGCTGTCCCAGTTGTACGCGGTACATCGAGGGGTGGCCAGGCAGTCGGCGCAGCAGTCGCCAGGATTGGCGCGGTCCGTCGTCTTGATGTCGTTGCCTGGAAAATCAACGTCAGGGATGGCCGAGCATTGGTTGTCCGCTTGGGTCATGGCAACGGCGGCCGCTGCGAAAGCCACGATACGAAGCATGCCTCGTGTAGATACCATTGCTGGTGAATTGATTTATGCCACGCCGCAAGGCGCCGTCATTCGTGGTGTAGGATGCGCCATCGTTCGGCAACGCAAGTTGCCAGTACAACATGCGCAATGTCACAGGAGATCCAGACCGCAGCTGTCGCCTGCGCCGTCGGCTCCGTCCTAGTTATCCCTACAGTCGAAAAAGTTCCGCAAGCCATCCTGTCACTGTCTGGGTGCCGCGGACCCACCCCGGGCAAGCATGCAAATCTCCTTGCCTGGGATGCTTGGACGAGCACAGCATGCGAGCTTGGCTCGAAACACGGACGGGGGTTGCGGCCAACAGGAGTTCGTCCGGGCTGCGGCTAATGTGCGCTGTAGGGTCGAGTTCCTTCCCCTACACCTAGTTGGTAATCAGTGGAGCACCACCTATTCTACGCTGAAATTGCACCCACACCGCGCAGGACAAGCGATATTGGAGCTGCTGTACAACGAAGCAGGGTTACAACAAGACCGCCTATTATAATAGTTGCATGGGATGATCTCGTCGGACGAGAGAGGCAGCATGCGATGCCGCGGCGTTGAAACCGGGCTTCGTCGCTCCGCTCTGATCAAATGGACGAGCTAGTGATATGAGACGAGGCCAGGTCCAGGAATTCGTGTCGCGAACGTAACGTGTGGGTGGGGGCGACCGACAAAGAGTTGAAGAATGCAAAGCCAGCGCGGACAGTGTCGGGTGGCTCATGCGCCTCACTTACCATATACTATCAGTCTGTTCAGTAGCGTCGTCCAACTTGCCAGAAACTGGATTCGACTCTCGAGAACTCTAGCGCAGGGGGATCCATGAGGCCCACCCACGTAGCCGCAACTTTATTCCACGCAGAAATGCCCCTCCCATGAAACCTTGCTTGGTCGGTGTCAACGAGGGGCCCGCAACTACGATAATACGTATGGATGAAGCGCGAACGTTGCTTGGGGGTCTTAGAATTGCATTGTAGAGTGGATCATCAAAGCGCCCGAGGATGGAGCGAGATAGGCAGGTTTGCGTAACAGTTCCACGGCCACATACAGCTTTGGCTTGAGTCCTACCTGACGATGACACAATGACGTCGTGTCATCTCGCAATACCAGTAGCAAGTGGCGCTGGTGGTGTTCCTGGATGGACGGAATCGTTCGCGTTGTTGAGGAGCAGCGACGTCATTACAAGTAATCACGAGAGGATGGGTAGCGCGAACGGGGTTGCGGCCGTATCCAAAGGTTTGCGGCGGCAAATGGTAAGGCGAGCAACTTTGAATGAGCTCTTTGGGCCATCAACTCCAGTCAGAACGACTGTTTTCGTGCCCTGCAACCGTCTGGGTTTTCGCAGAGAGTTCGTTTGTGCAAGGCTGCGAGGGGTGGCTTGTGCTGGCGTCTACTAGTACTCCTACAACGGCAAGCACAGTTTTGCCGTCGTACGTAAAATTGCAGCCACAGTACCGTTTCTGGGCCGGTTGAGAATGGAGTCATCCAGGAGAACGTGCCCTCAATCGATCCTTGCACTCATACGACTGCCCCACCAACGTACGGCCAGCTTCGGTACATCCTGTAAAATTGCTCCCAGTCGACGCCTAAACCATCGATAGCTTCCGCGACTGCAAATGTGCGTGCTTGCCAAAGAGGGGTTTTGCATCCTCATCGCTGTCGGTGCTGGAATTCTTGTGCACGGACCGCTTGACGGACAACGAGGCCGTCATGGCTATACCCTCCGACATGACAATATGATGGTGAGCCAGACTTGGAGCAATTCCCGCCAGGCAGTAGATCGGTTCCAAGGGACCACCAACAGGATACACATTGGTCCTGCCAGCGTGGCATGGATCCTGCTGTCACGCGGCGTCTCCATCGCCTCCAGCATGCCCCACTTGATCATAATTGATGAGATGCAACGCTCGAAGGGGACACGGCGGCGCCAAGTTGAGTCGATCGGTCGGCAAAACAAAGTGTGACCCATAAACTCATCGTTCAGAGGTTTTCGTGGTCCGAGAAAGTCTCCAGGAGATAGCCTCGCGAGTGGTTCCTCCAGTTCCGTCGTGTGG